ACCCCCAGGAGTGGGATGGGTGTGCCCCATGGCACCATATCTTGGTGTGCGTAAGGGCCCCCAGCGCTGCGCTTCCCCCGTGGCCCCCAGCCAAGACGACGGGTCGGGAATCTGGGCAAGACGGTCGTCGTCTACGCCTGAAAGGGTGACGGGTGGCTTAATCCTGATTCCTGGTCTGGACGCTGCGGTTGAGGACTCCAGGGTTAAGGTCCAACACGGGGACAGTACGATTTAGGAAAACCGGCTCAGACAACAACCTATGGTTCCGAATCATCACCCAATCAAGAACTTTTCAACAAAAACGAAGTAGAAACTGCGCTCGAATTAGCTTCGAGACACTAAAGCAAGTTTGTATATGCTATTCGATGTAGGTATAGAGAAGTAAGTCGTATTTAATAATACAGACTACTTGAACTCGGCCAATTGACCGCTCAATATATAAAACTTTTTTCAAAATTTCACAAAAAAGATAAATTCTACGATACACCATTAGGACAACAAAACCTCATCCAGCATATATGCTCCACCCATATATGCCAACAAAAAAAATCGCGGAACGTAGCAAACAACACAAGCCAATTCGACTTAGTTGGCCAATGTGGGATTCGAACCCACGCCCTTTCGGACTGTTGCCTTCAACTGGTGCCTTGGACCGCTTGGCCAATTGACCGCTCAATATAAAGAGCCTTTCTCAAAATTTCACAAAAATGACAAATTGTTCGTTACACCACCAGAACAACATAACCTCATCTAGAATATATGCTCACCCATAAATGCAATACCCAAGCTCCGCCATCAACCATTCATTGTGTAATGCTTAAGCTCTTGATATCATATTGTGATTGACAAAAGGGCTCTTAGCGATAATACGACGCAGACAACCATGTGACAGCTAAAATCCGCGGAACGTAGCGTAACTGCCTTGCGGGCCACATATATATTAAACTTAAAGCTACCAACCCATTCCAAGGTATGTAGACACTCTTACTCAGTCTATGCGCGAAGCTAAAATAAGTATACACTTTAATACATAGACATATGCAGTCTTAACCATAAAGGTTGAGCACGCACTAACCATCCATAGTGGGAATTGAACTCACAACTTTGCGGTCTAGCATCATGATGCCAAACCACTCAAGCCAGTCACCATAACTTTTCAGTTAGTGCAAGCATTAATATTAGCAGTATAACTAACACTCCACCATGCTGTGCATGCCAATGCCGATTTTGATCTTCTAGAGTTTAGCTCGCGACATTGCTTTTGTAAGAGCGTCCGCAAGCATGTCGGAGGTCGGCTTGTAAAGTAACTCTATGGTCCCATCCATCACACGCTCACGAATCGCATGATACTTGATCTCGATATGCTTGGTGCGTGCGTGAAAAATCGGGTTGCGTTCGAGGGCGATGGCGCCTTGATTTTCCTGAACTACCACAGTCGCATCTTCTGGCGCTTTCCTATCTCCCCAGGAGTCGACGCAACCATACCACTTCTTGAGACGTAAAATGTAGCGCAACATACTCGGCTTCGGTAGAAGAAGCGGTGACAGTTTTTTGCCTCTTGGATTTCCACGTCACGGCGCCACCGTGTAGCAACATGACAAATCTTCTTACGGATCGGCGAGTATCAAGGTCTGAATCCCAGCTGGCATCCGCGTAACCGACGAGTGCTTTTTCTCCGCCGCCATAACGAATCGCTGCGTCTTGCGGTGAGAAGAGGTACTTAAGCACGCGGCGTGCGGCCAGGCCAGTGTGACTTGTCCGGCGTCTTGCAAAATTTGACCACCTCCCACACCGCGTGCGCAACGTCTGGACGCGTACTTATTGCAGCGTACATAAAAACCCACTAGTTCTCGATATGGGTGTTGGGTCAAGGGGGCGTCGGCCTTTGCGGTGAGGGGTGTTTTTGGGTCGACTGGGATCGCGGTTGACTTACAGTCGGCCAACTGAAAACGTTCAGCAATCTTACGAATATAACAGCGTTGGTTTAGCTCCCATGTGCGTGAGGCGCGGTCATGTCGCACTTCTATACCCAAACAATAGCGCATCTCACCAATCTCCTTGATATCAAATTGTCCCTTTAGTCCGTCACGCACTAATGTAATGTCGTCCAGTTCTGGGGCAATAACAATCAAATCATTCACATAAGGAATCACCGCGCAAAATCCAACACGTGATACAGTCTTGAAGAAAACGCATGGATCAGCCTTAAGGGACTCGAACCCTCGCTTGTTAAAATGACTACGTAATGTCTCGTACCACGCCCGCGCGGCCTGTTTGGTACCATACAGAGCGTGGTGCAGCAAACATATCAAACCTAGTTCAGATACGTCTTCATAGCCATCTGGCTGACGCATGTATACTTCTTCATCCATGCGGCCATAGAGAAACGCGGTGTCCACATCAAACCGCTGTATTTCGTAATCTAGCTGCGCCGCCACGCAAGCATGCATCGGATCGTGTCCATGCGTGCGACAGGTGCAAGGGTCTCGTGATAGTCCACAGCCGGCTGTTGCATGAAACCTTGTGCAACTAACCGGGCCTTGTAGCGATCATCAGTTCCGTCCGCGTTACGTTTTACCTTGAACAACCAGCGGCATCCGATAGGTTGCTTGCCAGCCGGTAGCTGCACTAGCTGCCATGTCCTGTGACTTCGTAGAGTTTTCATCTCTGCTTCCATCGCTTGCTGCCGCTGATTGCAATTCGGTGAGCGTAGAATCACTTTGTAAGTTGTGGCGCTCTCGTCAGCTGTTACAGCGACCAGACAAAATAGCGCG